CTTATATTAAAGTTTTTCTTCATTACCCATTTAACCCGTCTCCAGCCATTATAAATATATACTTTGTTAATGTTGTTGTGCTAAGGATTCTTCTATAGTAGGTGTCTGTGAGTTGTTGGCGATAAATTAAAAAATAAACGAACAGCACTCACTCCACTTGTTTTCAAAATAATATATATATATTCGGAACTAGTTAAACGTGTGTACAATAAATTCTTTACACTACAGAGATCATAGGCGTGTCATAAACGCTATATAGCTCTCTTCTTCTTGTCAAAAGTCCACTTAAGCCTATTCAATTGTTTTAGTATTTCAGTTGACAAGCGGAACTATTTTTCTCTATTACTATCCGAGTATAGTTCACTTACTTTATCGTCGAGTTACAACGGTTGTATCCTATATGTATCCTTATGTTTATTTTGATGTATTTAAACTTTTGTTTACATATGCTTAGTTTGCCCTTTTTACAATATTTGTGCTATTTAACCACAAATGTTAGTACAGTGATGACGGTTACCAACATTTGTGCTTTTTAACTGCAGAATGTATCTACGGTCACGTCCAGTAACAGTGTTTGTGTTTTTAACCGAGGTTTTATAAGATAGCATTCTAACTTTCGAGTGGGAAGTTGCTCGTCTCAGACTGACAATATTTTTTCTTCTAGATGAGTGAACAGACAGAGAAGATAACTGGCTAATTTCGGTTCAGTGTACGTTTCTTCTAATATAAAATCAGCCACTTTTCACCGTGCAGAATTCACAGGTTCTAAACCCGCAGGGCATTCTTTATCGGTTACCATGGAAACATTATTACATCTACATTTTAGTGTAACTCAAACCAATGCGTCTAGACAAATTTTACTTTCTCTGGTGCAATCCTCATAATAGTAACACCTTCTGAACTAAATAAGAATAATTATTTTTGTTCTTGCACAAATTCTATAATGTAACAAACACACATCAAAATGGTGTCAGCACCTTACGTAGTTCTACTCCTCTAAAGAAACATGATCAAATATAAGTTTGTCGCACTAGCCATGTTGCAACACGAGCCCCTGGGTCTCAAAGGTGTGAATATTGTGTATGTTACACGTGGACTTTTATGTGTTTTATGTGCCCTGGGGGGGGGCAGCTGTCCCACCTACACGTACAGTAACTCAAAAAGCAAAAGAAAATAATTATTTGCTTCATGCGCTGTCATCGACTCCCTGTCCCTAAAATATACAGAAAACTTCATTAATACTCCCTAATCACGCCTAGTGACCAATAAGTAGCCCCTAACAACGTCTAATGACCAATAAAAGCCCATTCAATCGGCTATGACAGTATAACTTTAGGGTGATAACGATTCCTTGTCGACAAATGTTGTAAGGTTTTTCTATGTGTTTATTCTGTTTTAAATCTTCATGAACGTGGAATTTGTTACAGAGATGTTGACGTTATGAACATAAACTTCTGCCACGATCATTTAGAGATTTCGGAACAAAATGAAAAACATTTTGAGTTAAACGACAAACAATCACCAGCCTAGAAAAAAATAACATTTTTACTTATTTTTGGTTAAAATGAGAAACACCCTCCTTGCGTCGCTAGCACAGGAATAAGAATGATTTGAAATATAATTTATTATAAATATGTTATTGTAATTTGGTATGTTTCGCACGTGTATTTCCACCGTTCTTTGTCTCCAGCATCGTTGCTTCTTCCACTTCTATGTTTTCTTTCCTTTCCACTCTTCGTGCTAGATATTATTTTTACAGATTTACTTTACCTTCAGTACAAGTTAATTTTAAACTTTGAATGCCAAAGATATTGTTTGGTAGTTTTACCTTATCAAACCCAGCACCATTATCTATCTGTGTATTCTATTCTATTGATGGTTGTATTTATCCAGGACCATTCATCAACAGAATAGAATACACGGGTTTCTTGTTTTGTGAATCTGAGTGGAAAATTTGATAATATGGATGAGTTTACATGTGTTGTGAATTCTTGTAAAAAAAAAAGAAATTGTGATAGTATTAAGTTTTTACTTGGTGTTATTAATACGAACAGAAAATATGATAATGAGTTTATGCCTTTTGATGTGAATTTAAACAGAAAATGTGATAATATAATGAGTTTATGTCTTGCGTTGTGAATGTAAACAGAGAAACGGAATTCTCAGAGGTTAACTGTTTTTATCAAAAGATCTGATCTAAGGGGCTCAAGTCCCGCCATCTCGTGGTGATACAAATAAGCGATGTGGAATATATTTTGATTGTTTTAGTAAAGTAATGTTGTTAATTATCATCCGTGTTTCAGTTAAAACGTATTTTCTGAGGGTGGAAATAGTTTCTAATTAACCTTACTATAAACATGCTATTAACAAGCTCTGTCGATTTATCATCTGCTAATTGTTAAGTTTGCAAACTTACACAGAATTATATATATTTGATTTGTTTCAAAGTGAAATAAGTTTCTAATCTTAAAAGAGAATACTTAAAATATTTATAGCTTTATAGATCTTAGCATGGGTTAAGAATCCATTAAGTACGTCCCCTGGGGTGTCAGCAGTTAGTTTACGGACTTACAGTGCTAAAACCCGAATTTGACTCCCTCTGGCGGAAAAAGTGCATTCAGCCAATTAAGTAGGTTTGCACTAAAATAATAACAGCAACCGTACTGTCCGCCTCCTCCCGTTCCAAGGGCTCAGTCATAAGTTTTAGGAATTATAACACTAAATATCGGTTTTCGATACTCGCTGTTGGCAAAACACAGATAGTCCATTGAGTAGCTTTGTGATTTTAAAGAATTCTGGGTTCCATGCTCCTTTCAGAGATTCCACTGTGTAGCATTGCACTAAAAATATCCACACAAAGACAATCAAAGACCTTTGTATTAATAACAAATAAACAATAACAGATTTAAAAACAATAATTTTATGCGACGTTAAGTTTTCAAATGCTTTACTACAGATATTCATCACAGTCAAAGCTTGGGCAAGTTTTGAGTTAGTATTAAAAGAAGGTTATATTTTTATAAGTATTTATCAAAATGAGTCACCATAACATTAAAACATTGTTAAGTACAGTGTTTATATTAGTATGATAACACAAAGACATTGTCTCGTATAGTGTATGCAATAGAATGATTTATTACGGTATTGTTTCATACAGTGTATATATTGAGATGATGGTATCAAAACACGTTTCATACAGTGTTTATATTTGGATGATTACATTAAGTTGTTATTTTATAGAGTTTTTATATTGCTATGATAGCATTAACACATTGTTTCGTAAATAGTTATATTAGGATGAAGACATTAAGACATAGATATATGTCCACTTTTCCTAAGTTACCACTCAAACAATTCAATATGCTCTTTAGAATTATCGATTGTTCCTCTAGACCTAGGTGTCTTTATTGTGGATTTTGTGCTGCCATCTGTTAGTGCAACTTGACATGAAATATGTTACCTGATTAGTCATGTTTAGAAAAAGTAACGACAAACTCAATAATAACGGAAGAAAACTTTTTTTTTTGTGTATGAGGTGGGGCATGAAATGTTTTCTTTAAATAAAATCTTCTGAGGATAAAATCGTCTTCATTATAGGTAGTTTATAACAACAAATATTTCTACTGTAGAGAATCGCTTCGCTCTATTTCGAAATATGATTACCTGCACTAGCCGTCCCTACTTTTGAAGTGGTAGACCAGAGAGAAGTCAGCCAGTCAACATCATCTACCGCCAGCTCTTGGGCTACAATTCACCAATGAATAATGGGATTAACCGTCATGTTATAACACCCCCACGGCTGGATGGGATTCGAACTCGCGACCTTAGATTGCCCTAACCACCAGGCCATGCCACATCAGGATTAATTATTATGCTCCTTAGTGTTAAAACAATTTCCTTCTTAGTTGCATTGTTTCAGAACATTAGTTGCAAGTGTTAGAACATCATTTAGTTGTACGGTGTTAGAACAATATGATTCTTAGTTGCATAGTGTTAGTTTAGTTTAGTTTCATGACGTAAGCAGATCACGAATCTAAAGCCTTATCATTCGACAGACTCTCTTGAAATAAAGATTTACCAAACGATAACTAGCTTTATTTAGTCCAGCTTGCTTGACACCAACGTTGATATGGTCTGTATATTTGTTTAAAATCTGCTTAGCACACTATTAGATTATCATCAATTACTTGTCCAATGAATTAACTCATTCCGAATTGGTAAGAACCAAACGATTGTGTTAGAGTGAAAAAAAGCTAATTTTTATCATTTAACATAACCCTTGTGGCGTTTTATAAACATAGAAAATTATGAATGAAGGTATAGATATGTAGTGATAGAACAAACATTGTAGGGATATGAAGGGAGAGGTAATATAATAAAGAAGATATTTGGAGGGAGATGTGAGCTAAGAATAGATATAATGTACAATCTGTCTCAGGTAGTCAGTGATATCTTGAATAGATGATGTTTGGAGTAACTCTAATCTAGATGATGTTTAATCTGTTTCAGGTAGTCAGTGCTGTCTTGAATAGATGATGTTTGGAGTAACTCTAATTTAGATGATTTTTAATCTGTTTCAGGTAGTCAGTGATGTCTTGAATAGATGATGTTTGGAGTAACTCTAATCTAGATTATCTGTAATCTGTTTCAGGTAATCAGTGATGTCTTGAATACATGATGTTTGGAGTAACTCTAATCTAGATGATGTTTAATCTGTTTCAGGTAGTCAGTGATGTCTTGAATAGATGATGTTTGGAGTAACTCTAATCTAGATGATCTGTAATCTGTTTCAGGTAATCAGTGATGTCTTGAATAGATGATGTTTGGAGTACATCTAACCTAGATGATCTGTAATCTGTTTCAGGTAGTCAGTGATGTCTTGAATAGATTATATATAGAGTAACTCTAATCTAGATGATCTGTAATCTGTTTCAGGTAGTCAGTGATGTCTTGAATATATTATGTTTGGAGTAACTCTAATCTAGATGATCTGTAATCTGTTTCAGGTAGTCAGTGATGTCTTAAATAGATTACGTTTGGAGTAACTCTAATCTAGATGATCTGTAATCTGTTTCAGGTAGTCAGTGATGTCTTGAATAGATGATGTTTGGAGTAACTCTAAGCTAGGTGATGCTTAATTTGTTTCAGGTCGCTGTTGTCGTGGAAACAGTCTAATGTGAAGCAAATAATTTTTTTTAATATAAGAAATCGCAAGTTAGATCGTTTGTATAAACATTGCGATAACTATCACTTTATTTTTCTAAGAACAGCTTTACTGTTGCTGTTTATGAAAGAAGGTTGTGAAGATGAATTCCAGGGCAAACAGAATGTGACCTCGCTGCCTGTAGTGATGCAGACCAGCCTCAATCGATTTAGCCAAGTTGGCCGGTTTGCGCTTCACAAGCTGCATTTCTCATTTTCCAGAAGAGCACGGGGATGACGTCACAGCTTGTGATGGCGTTCGTGTCGCGTGCTGTAGCCGGGCAACCATTGCATGAAGACAAGTCCAAGTGGTCTCTCGCGACTTCTCTCAGACTCTGACACTAGAGCCATTTCGGCAGTGGCTAATAAAGATATATCATACTGGAAGGTGTAGTGGGCTACGTCCGGACAGGCGTCAAAATTCTTATCAATTTTACCAAAATTTCACGCCTGCGGTTATGCGATAAATGGTATATAACTCCCGTGTTGCGGCCGCGGCAGACCGACCCGGGCTACCGACGGCCGTCTTCTAGCAAATCAGAGATGAGTAGTCAAGAAGCCGGTAACGGCAACTTATATAATTACCAACGTAAATCTTCTTTTCTCCCGTCCTCCTCCAGGTCCCTACCGAAGCTTACGGGTGAAGATCACTGCACTGACGGAGAAGGCCTGCTGGGACGTCTAGGTTTCGGTCAGCTCAACTGTAGCGGCAACTTCGAGCCTATACCTCATGATCACGACTACTGCGAGCGGGTTGTGGTTAATGTCAGCGGCCTGCGTTTCGAGACCCAGCTACGGACACTGAACCAGTTTCCGGACACACTGTTAGGTGACCCTACTCGTCGTATTCGTTACTTTGATCCACTCCGGAACGAGTACTTCTTCGACCGAAATCGGCCAAGTTTTGACGCCATTCTCTATTACTACCAAAGCGGTGGAAGACTTCGGCGACCAGTTAACGTCCCTCTAGACGTATTTGCAGAGGAAATTAAATTCTATGAACTGGGCGAGGGGGCGTTCAATAAGTTCCGGGAAGACGAAGGATTTATCAAAGAAGAAGAGAAGCCGCTTCCATCTCACGAACTGCAGCAGAAGATGTGGCTTCTATTCGAATACCCAGAGAGCTCACAGGGCGCACGCGTCATCGCCATCATCTCTGTCGTCATTATCCTCCTATCCATCGTCATATTTTGTTTAGAAACTTTGCCGAACTTCAAACATTACAAGGTCTTTAACTCGACTAGTGGAGTGCTGAGGGTCGTTGAGGATGAAGTACCAAAACTGACCGATCCCTTCTTTCTCATAGAAACCTGTTGTATAGTGTGGTTTACCTTCGAATTATTGGTGCGATTCCTGGCATGCCCTAATAAGCTGGACTTTTTCAAGGACGTGATGAACTCTATTGACCTTGTAGCTATTATCCCGTACTTTATTACCCTAGGGACAGTGATGGCAGGAAAAAATCCCAGGTCCCCTACATTTGGCAACGAGAGGGGCAGTAATAATCAAGCCATGTCGTTGGCTATCTTAAGGGTCATCCGTTTGGTGCGAGTCTTCAGAATTTTCAAGCTCTCCAGGCATTCCAAAGGCCTGCAGATTCTGGGCCGGACACTAAAAGCCAGTATGAGAGAACTGGGTTTACTCATATTCTTCCTCTTCATTGGTGTAATTCTTTTCTCTAGCACTGTTTACTATGCCGAGGTCGACTCCGAAAGGTCCTACTTCAAGTCCATTCCAGACGCCTTCTGGTGGGCTGTTGTAACCATGACAACTGTGGGGTACGGAGACATGCGTCCCGTGGGAGTGTGGGGTAAGATTGTGGGCTCATTATGTGCTATCGCAGGCGTGCTAACAATAGCGCTTCCGGTTCCAGTGATAGTTTCTAATTTCAACTACTTCTACCACCGAGAAACCGATCAGGAAGAGATGCAATCACAAAACTTTAATCACGTGACGGCTTGTCCTTATTTGCCAGGAACAGTGGGGCTTAAGCCTTTGCAGGAATCTCCGAGTGAGTCCGACTCGGACATCATGGAACTTGAAGAAGGGGCAATGCGAACAATGGATGTTTTGGACAAAAAGCCTAACCCCAAACCTCAGCCAATTAACAATATCAGTGCACTTGGCACAGAAACTGATGTGTGACAATGGAGTAGAAGTGGAACTTATTTCGTATCCTTTCATTGTTTCTTGTATTAAGAAAATATAAGTTGTTTTTTTGTTTACCCACAATATAGGCTGTGCACCTAAGGTCCACAAAAAGGTAAGCATTAAAAAAATACTTAAAAAAATTCGTCTGTAACATATACCAGGGAACAACATGAGTGAGAGAGGTGTAAAATTTAATTTTGAATTTAGATCAAACTTTTATGACATCAACAAATATGTTAAGCTATATATTATTTTAGTGTGATATTACGGAAAGTCCTATCGTTGGACAATCTACTAGTGTCACATGATGTAACGAAAAAGTAGCGTAATGAAATATAATATTATAAAATATAAAGTTTCATAACAAGAGTAGTATAAAGTAAAACAATGACACAAAATGTAGCATAAAGTATCATTGTGTAAGTACTATAGAATAGCATAGTGACACACAATATAGCAAAAAGTAACATAATGTATGTAACTTTCAAACTTCTCGTTGTGGCAGAAATAACTTTGAATTTGTAGTTCCACCAGCTGTATTGTCAAAACACTGTTGTTGAGTAGTTTTACTACACCAGCTGTATTGTCAATACACTGTTGTTGAACAGTTCCACTACACCAGCTGTATTGTCAACACACTGTTGTTGAATTGAAATTATTCAACAACAGTGTGTTGACAATACAGATAGTGTAGTGGAATTACATAAGCTGTATTGTCAACATACTATTGTTAGGTAGTTCCATTTCACCGGCTGTATTGTCAACACACTGTTATTGAGTAATTCCACTACACTAGCTGTATTGTCAACACACTGTTGTTGAATAATTTCAATTCATCAGCTGTATTGTCAACACACTGTTGTTGAGTAATTCCACTACACTAGCTGTATTGTCAACACACTGTTGTTTAATAATTTCAATTATACAGATGTATTGTCAACATTGTTAAGTAGTTCCATTTCACCGGCTGTATGGTCAACACATTATCGTTGAATAGTTTCAATACACCAACTGTATTGTCAATACATTGTTTAACACACTTTTGTTGAAACTATAACAGAGTTAATAGCTCTAGAGTACAGATTTGAAAATTTGTTGAGAGTTTGAAAGATAAGGTCACTGAAATTTTTTATTTTCTTGTGTTTTGCCCATGCCTGAGAAAGATAAACACCTTATCTATTAGTATTACAATCACCGGTATATTTCAAGTGTGGCTTCATGGAACTGGCTGTTTGCACTAAAACGTGTTTTGAGCCAAAGTCAACACAACGTCCAAACAAACGTATACTGATATCTACAATTTTTACAACCTCTCATAACGTCCAAACATACGACGATACTACTCTCGCCATATTAACATATGGTGATGCATTGAGTTTTGCCTCTCACATAGTACAATAATTCAAGCCTTACCAAATATTCACAACTACTTGATTTTACATTTTCAAAACATTTCTTTCACAAAGGTTTACCAATGAATTCGAAATGTAATTCTTAAGAAGGTATGTAAGTTACAACAAAACGTGACTTTGTAAAAGAAAGGTATATCAAATGGAAGTTCTGAAACTCAAAAGTTTATGAGTCGTAACGCACATGTGTATATGAACAAAAATAGAAACAATGATTTCTTCCTGAAACAGAAATTCAATACATCTTAACACTTGATAATTAGAATTTTGCAAAGAAATGCTGCTTCTCTTATATTTAAGAAAGCATTCCTTTTTCACGAATTACACAGACACGGAAATGCTTTTAGATTCCCAGATTATTCACATATAGAGAGAGAAGTCTGCAAGTGTCCAGTTTGGTGGTCCTTCACATGTGGAGAGAGGTCTGTAACTTTTCCTGTTTGGTGCTTATTCACATGTGGTAAGATGTTTGTAAGTGTCCCAATTTGGTAGTTCTTCACATGTGGGAAGATGTTTGTGTCTAAATTTGGTACTTCTTCACATGGGGAGAGATGTTTGTAATTGTTCCAGTTTGGTGCTTATTCACATGTGGTAAGATGTTTGTAAGTGTCTAAATCTGGTGGTTATTCACGTGTGGAGATATGATTGGAAGTGTCTAAATCTGGTTATTCACGTGTGGAGATACGTTTGTAAGTGTCTAAATCTGGGGATTCTTCACATGTGGTAAGATGTTTGTAAGTGTCTAAATCTGGTGGTTATTCACATGTGGAGAGATGTTTGTAAGTGTCTAAATCTGGTGGTTATTCACGTGTGGAGATATATTTGTAAGTTTCTTCATTGACCACACTATTTGCTGTATTAAGCTTCACTTCAGTCTTCACTAATAGATTGAAATGGACTTGAATAACAGACTTTGCAGTATGCAGCCTACTGTGGATTATTTGACAGTAAAGGCATGGGGAATGGTGTTAATACATGACCCACCATACTGCAACTCAACCCATATTATTGATAGTGTTCCAGTACTGGGGATTATGGGTAATGGTGTTAGTACATGACCTACCCTGTAGCAACTCAACCCATGTTATTCAGGTGTCTCTAAGCGCTTCATTATAGAAGGAACATATATAAATGTATTCGAATTTTCAACGTTTTTTTCTTACTATGATAGTTTGTATGTTGCGCAGGTGTGATAGTAAGTGAACGTGTGGCCCTAGTTGTGTTTTGTGTCATCCTTTGTTAATGACTAACTAACAGCACGTGGTTAGTACCACCAAAAAACAAACCTCAACCAGCTCTGAAAGTCAGCAAGGGGGAATGAAGTCATACAAGCTGTGGCTGTGGTCCCAGCGGTTAGTTCACGGATTTACAATACTAAACTTTGGCGGTTTGATTACTGGCGGTGGACAGAGAGCAGGAAACCATCGTGTAGCTTTGTGCTAAGAAACAAACAATAGCATCTGTGAAACCTCTACTTATATCAGTGCAATGTCCCGAGAAAAGATGATCTTGTGTGTTAATTTATTATTCTTACATCTCCATGTTAACTGCTGCTATTGTTGCTGTTTCTTACATCTCCACGTTAGCTGCTGCTACTGTTGCTGTTTCTTACATCTTTACGTCAGCTGCTGCTATTGTTGCTGTTTCTTACATCTCCGCGTTAGCTGCTGCTATTTTTGCTGTTTATTACATCTCCGCGTTTATAACAAACATCAACAATAGCAGTTAACGTGGAGCTATAACAAACATCAACAATAGCAGTTAACGTGGAGCTATAACAAAGAGGAAACACAGCAGTTAACTTGGGGCTGTGAGAAATGTCAATAATGGTAGATAAGGTGGAGATTTAAGAAAGAGAAACAATAGCAACTGAGGTGTATGTGTAAGTAATAACAAAACAGCAGCTAAGGTGGAAATATATGAAATACAAATAAAAGCAGGTATCGTGGAACTGTAAGAAACAGCAACAATAGCAGCAGCTGACGTGAAGATGTAAGAAACAAGAGAAAAAGCAGTGCTCCACATTAACTGCTATTGTTGATGTTTGTTATAGTCCTACCTTAACATCTATTGTTGATGTTTGTTATAGCTTCACGTTAACTACTATTGTTGATGTTTGTTATAGCTCCACGTTAACTACTATTGTTGATGTTTGTTATATTTCCACCTTAACAACTAATGTTGATGTTTGTTATAGCTCCACTTTAACTACATTGTTGATGTTTGTTATATCTCCACTTTAAGAGGAAAACTTTGTATTAAGTTTTTGTTATGCACAGTAAACAATGGCTACGATATTGTTAGCGTTAGACAGTATTTTAGCAGGAAAACATTCTGCTAAGCATAGGATATGTTTAGTGTTAGACTGTACTTTTAAAGAAAACGTTCTACTAAGTATTTGTTGTTCATATCAAACAGTGGATAAAATATGATTAGTGTTTAACAGGAAACCTTCTGTTAAGTCTTTGTTGTACATAGTAAACAATTGATAGGACACTCTTAGCTCTGTATTAGAACTGTCTTTTCTCGGGTTTATATTTCTTATACAAATTTTCTTGTCTATTATGACGAACTCGTATCTACAAAAGAAAATCGAAGATTTTTCATTTTTCACTAAAAACGTTAGATTCTTCCCTGTACGTTGTTAGAAACCTTCATTTGTTTTGTTTTTGGCAGCAACAGTAATTAAGTCACACGTAGAACAACAAAAATATTTCTTTCGATGTATTTTTTGTAGGTGTTGTGCTAATCTGGTGACGCTGTTGTGATGTCATGAGTTTGGCGTCTCTGGCAGTCAATTAACACACTTAACAGTTGGCACATTTCCATAGTATACAGTCATTTTCAGACTGACCCGTTTATTATCAGTAAATAAGGATTCTCTCTGGCATATTCATTGATATTGCAGTTTATTTGGCTGGAAGTTTCTATGTTAAAACTACAGTGTTTCTTTAAGAGGGTGGATATTGAATATGTTATCATAATTTAATTTATCTGCTTACAAAAGAGATTGAAAGGATAATTTGATTGTTAAAACTTGAGGAGATAATACTTATTAAAAAAGGCTGAAACATAAATCAACAAAAAGGTTGAACAAATAATTTAGCTGAAAAAGAAAAGGCTAAACAAATAATTTGGGTCATAAGAAAAAGGCTGAACAAAGAATTTAGCTGAAAAGAAAAAGGCTGAACAAATAATTTGGCTGAAAAAGAAAAGGCTGAACAAATAATTTGGCTCATAAGAAAAAGGCTGAACAAATAATTTGATTCAAAAGAAAAAGGCTGAACTAATGGTTTAGTTGATAAGGAAAAGGTTGAACAAATAATTTGGCTCATAAGAAAAAGTCTGAACAAATAATTTGATTCAAAAGAAAAAGGCTGAACTAATGGTTTAGTTGATAAGGGAAAGGCTGAATGAATAATTTGGCTCATAAGAAAAAGGCTGAACAAATGATTTGGCTCATAAGAAAAAGATTGAACTAATGGTTTAGTTGATAAGGAAAAGGCTGAACGAATAATTTGGCTCATAAGAAAAAGGCTGAACAAATGATTTGGCTCATAAGAAAAAGGCTGAACAAATAATTTAGCTGATAAAAAAAGCCTAAAAAGATAA